TGTTTTTTTTGGTTTGAGGGCCAAAATGGTAAAAGAAAATGAAAAAAAAAAAAAAAAAAAAAAAAAAACGTCAAATTTCTGTCCAGGAAATAATTAATTTTGAAATATGAAATTTCAAAAATATATATTCTCCTTAAAGCACAACAAGGATTAAAAGAGATTAAAACAGATAAAAATACATTTTTAAAAATAGTTCGTATCATATTTTGTAAGAGAAACCGATATTTTTGGATATTTTTAGGAATGGAGACAAGTAATAATAACTGTTAATTAAGATACAATAATAAACAATATAATTGAAAAATTAATCACTACAGGTGAGATCCAAAGTTTTCTCTGTATTTTGAAAATTGTTTTCAGGATTTAATTTTTTAGTGTTTTGATGTTTACAAAATTAGTAGCAATAATTATTCTGTCAGCTTTAATAAAACTTTCAATTAATTTATAAATAACTCCAGTCATCAGCTAATAGTTAATTAATATTATAGGAATAGTGTTGTTATTTTACTGGTTTTCTGTTCAAAATGTTCTGATATTTTCTAAATGTTCTGATATTTTCTGCCCTATTTCTGGAAATTTACAATAAAAATGTTTATTTTGAAAGTAAAGATGACACAAGTCGACTCTTTGCTTTACTGAAAATCTACAAATCCAGTTAAATCCTCCAAGTTCAGGAATGGAGTTAATTGTACAAATTAAACCCAAATGTGAAAGATTTACAGCAGATCACCTGAAAGTAAAATTTTGAATAAAGTGAGCATTAAAAATCTGCAGAATATTTCAATAACTTCAGGAAGATGAGAAAAGGAATGTCTTTAAAGTTTTTTTCTAAATAGTTTGTGAATCTTTAAAAGCAGATTTAAATTATTTGAAACCACTATGACAGTTCTAGTTTGGTCTGAAACGATTAATCGGATGAAATAAACTATTGAATTAATTAGTCTGTTTTGAAACGGGGATTATATGCAGAAAGGATTCAGTTCAGCTGTTATAAATGTGTTTTTACTCAAAGTTTCTGCTTTCAGAGTGAGCTGGATGGAGCTGACCTTTACAAAAAGCATCAGAAACAGGAAGCTTTGTCTCTTAATGTGAGAGCAGACTTCCTGTTTTGTCATTTTTCCTATATCAGACAGGAAGGAGTCGAGTCGTTTATGCACAAACAGCAGCAGATCACAGCTGAGTGAACTGAGGTTGGACCTCCGCCTCCTGCTGCTTCATGTGTGACATCACAGCCGGGTCCTTGGGGGCCTGCTCCCCCGCATGGACCTTCATGTGCGACTCCAGCGAGCGCTTCTCCTGGTAGCTCTTTCCGCAGGTGTGGCAGCTGAAGGGTTTCTCGCCGGTGTGCGTCAGCATGTGCCTCTTCAGGTCGATCTTCTGCACGAAGCCCTTCCTGCACACCTGGCAGACAAACGCCTTGTCCTTCTTGTGGAAGCGCTCGTGCGTCTCCAGCGAGATTTTCTGGCGGAAGGTTTTCCCGCAGAGGCTGCAGATAAACGGCTTCTCGCCCGTGTGGATCCTCATGTGGGAGTCCAGGTTGCCGATCTGCCTGAAGGTTTTGCCGCAGACCTTGCAGGGGAACGGCTTCTCCCCCGTGTGGATCCTCTTGTGCACGTCCAGATGTTGGCTCATGGTGAACTTCTTGTCGCAGGTTTCGCAGGTGTAAATCCGGGGCTTCCCGCCGGTGTGGCTCTTGATGTGCCGCTTGAGGACGGTGCTTTCGATGAAAGTCTTCCCACAAAACTCGCAGATGTATGGCCTCTCGCCGGCGTGCAGCTTCAGGTGTCTCTCCAGGGAGCTCTTCCTGGGGAAATCCTTGCAGCAGTCTTTACACCTGAAAGGTTTTTGCCCGGAGTGCGTCCTCATGTGAATCTCCATGTCCCTGAAGTTGTCTCCGCAGATGTCGCAGGCTTTGTTAATTTCTCTGTGACTCTGGATGTGGAGCTGCAGGCTCTCGGACGACTCGGCCCGCTCTCCACAGACGCCACACAGGAGGTCGGGGTGATTTAAATGTGTCTCTGTGTGTCGCAGTAAGTTCCCTTTATTGTGGAAAGCATTCCCGCAGACCTTGCAGGAGTGAGAAGGAGTCAGACTCGGCTTTCTGCGTTTGCTCTTGTCGTTCAGCTGGTTGTGGCTCTGGGCGTGTCTCCTGAGGTCAGAGGTCGTTAAGAAATCTGCTCCACAGACTTTGCAGGTGAACACCGTCTGTTCACCGTCGGTCTTCATGTCTTGCTCTGGTGAAACGCTGTGGACGAAGTCTTCAGAGAGCTTTTCTTCCACATGGGTTTGCAGGTGAGTCATCATGTTGCCCTTCTGGCTGAAGCCTTTGCCGCAGTGGCGGCAGCTGAACGGTTTCTCACCGGTGTGCAGCCGTGCGTGCGTCTCCTTAGCTCGGATCGAGGGGAACTTTTTGCCGCAGAAGTCGCAGGTCCTGCAGCTGTCGCGATGCATCTGAAGATGTCGTTTCAGGTCAGCGCTGGACTCCAAACGTTCCCCACACACACCGCACCGACTCTCCACTTCCTTGGCGTGTTTCTCCACGTGTTTGATCAAAAAGCCTTTCGTGTCGAAGGATTTCCCACAAACTTTGCAGCTGGGAGATGTTTCATCTGCTGCAACCGTATCATCCTCTTCCTCCTCAGCTGCCGCCTCATCGTCTGGAAAAGCCGCTTGCTGGTCGAGTCTGGAAGTGGAACCAGGTGGTCTTTGGAAAGGCTGACTCCTAACACCAACAGACAGACACAGTTCTGCAAAGACAATAAACAACAAATTCATTTGCTGCTGATAATACAAGCTGCAACTGGCAATAATAAAAACACAAAACCTTACCTAGCATGTCGGTTCAGTTTCTCTTGTAAATATCTTAGAACATTTGAAATAAGACAAAAGTAACTCACAGGTAACTTTTCAGAAAGACATACAAGCTTGTTTTAAAAATAATTCATTAAAATTGATTAAATAGTTTTAGTTCCACTGTCAGATTGTTTCACTTATAACTTGGGAAATATGAAATCATCATGTAACACACAAATGAAACACACTGATGTTTGTGATTATAAATGTGAGAAAAATGTGAAAACTTTAAAATATATTAATAATTGTGGTTTATTAGTGTCCGGTGACTGATTTTCCACTTTATTGCACAAAAAACTGAATTTTATGATCACATAAGCAGTAAAAAAAAACATGATTAAATGAACAAAAACGTATTAACTTAGGTTAAATACAAAACTAAAGCTAAAAACAATATTAAAAAAACTGGTTTGTTACAGATATCTAACCCTAAACAATATAATTAAATAGTTTTCGGTTTTTCTACGAATGCTACTGTCTTACATGTTTTTGAAATGACAATTATTATTATTATTATTGTTATTATTATTATTTGGTTGTTTATTACTCCTATATTGCCCCCATCCAGGGTTAAAACCTTAAATCGATCTATTAATATTTTGCATATCGCTGAAAGCTCCACTGATATAAGGTGGATCATGTTTTTATGAGTTTAATATGGTTTTTCTGGTTGTAATTTACTACAGGTGAGCTCACGGACCTTTTGACTGCTCTCCGCGGCCTCCTCTCCGCCTCTCTCCCGGCTCCAGAGTTCCTCTTTCGGCCGCTCTGCTCGCTTCGAACGCGGTGAGGATGGAGTCCACGGCCGCTGCGATCCGCTTCATCAGCAGCGCCCGCAGCTCCTCCAGCTCCGCCTGGCCGCGCTCCTCCAGCAGGCCGAGGACCCCCGAGGCTGCCGCCGCCAGCTGCTGCTCCACACAGGCCCTCAGGCTGCCGCTCTCTGGCCGCTTTTTGGACATTTTTAAGAGGTTTTTAAACACAACAAAGGGGCGAAGTGTAAACAGAACGAAGAACTTCCGGCGCGGGCGTGACGTCATCTCGAGGGCGCCAAGGAAACAGTTCAACTGACTAATGAGTTGGTTGTTTATCTGCCGAAATAGTACTTTATTATGTAAGTTTAGCGATGCATTGTAATGTTTTATCTTTTAATTTACTCGCTTGTCTAAATACGGTTTTAATTTTTGGTTGTTACTTGAATTCAAACACGAAGCTGAAGTTGGTTTTTCGGTTCGGGAAAGGCCTAAAGGGCGATTCCAACTAATTTTTCACTCCTTTCAGGATATTTAATCTACTCTAGTTAAAAAAAAACTACAAAACATTGACACTTCAACCCTGGAGTAGATTATTTTTCAACTAATAGCAGAATATTTAAAACCATGTTTGTGATTTGTGAAGCTTCCAATTTCATCACGTTTTTGCATCTGGATCACATTAGAACTGCTAATGTGATTCCAAAGCCACAACACCTAGACTCTTCAAACCTGGACTGGATTATTCTGCTCTACTAGCAGAATATATAAAACGATGTATGAAATTTGTGAAACTTCACTAAAGTTCAGATTACTATTCACACCCGCTCCATGCAGTATTTTTTCCCCCAAATTTAAATTCAATTCTAATTCAAAACCACTTTATTAATCCCAAAGGGAAACTAAATATTGATGTAACTCGTTAATTCTTCAAAAAGTTATTGTAGATGGTGATGGCTGTTGGAAGGGAAGATCTTCTGTAGTGGTCTGTGTTGCACTGAATCTGAAGACGCCTCTGACTGAAGACACTCTGCCTTCCCAAGACAGTCTCGTGACAGGGGGTTTGCTGAAGCAGATGTATGATGGGATCATCAACTCCAACTCCACTGCAAGAAGCAAACTGCAGAGGGTCTTGATATCCTTGTCTGCTTATTCAGGTGGGCCGACAGGAGTCTCTCCATGACCTTCATGTTGTGCAGTGTCAGGGCTACAGGTCTGTAGTCACTGATGACTGATGGGTAATATTCTGCTGGTAGAGCAAAATAATCCAGTCCAGGTTTGAAGTGTCCAAGTTTTGTAGTTTTTTAATTAGAGCAGATTAAATATCCTGAAGATGGTGAAAAATTAGGTGGAATTGCCCTTTAGACATTTCCCAAATCAGAAGCTGGAATCAGAAACCAATTTCAGATTCGTAGTTCAAAACCTGAACCAAACTTCCTTAGAAAAATGTTGATTTTTGTTTTTATTTAATCATGTGAACAGCGACATACAGTTAAAAACATCACCTTACTTTTCTTTATACTTAAGAATATCCTCTGGTAAATTCGGCATATTATTTAAAAAGGTTGTTTCTAATAAGCACTGGAAGAAGGCAGACAAACTCTATCACAGATTATCTGTCACAACATTGTGACAGTTTCAAAAAGTATCTAAAATAATATGTTTTTAATATATACTGACATTAAGAATGATATTACAGCTTTGTGGATCTTTCTGTGTTTTAGGTCTTAAAATGTCAGCTGGGAACAGAACCCTCCTTGGCGTAGCGATGTCTCAACAGCAGCAGCAGCAGCAGAAGAAGAAGAAGAAGACAGGCATTCCTGATGGGTGGCTGGACTACTGTCCCGTCGGATCGAGGATACCAGGAACCAGGTTCATTCCTTTCAAGGTTCCTTTAAAAGCCGCCCTGAACTGCCAACTTCCCACCTCCCAGTCCTTTGATCTGTGGGACCTGCTGGACTCGGTGCGACGGCAGAACCAGGAGCTCGGTCTGATCATCGACCTCACCTTTACGACCAGGTACTACTCAGTATCAGACACCCCACAGTGCTGCGCCTACATCAAGATCCCCACCGAGGGTCACCGCGTTCCAAACGACGGAGCCATCCTGAGCTTCAAGCGCGCGGTGAGGCACTTCCTGAGTCAGAACCAGGACAACAGCAGGCTAATCGGAGTCCACTGCACCCACGGGCTGAACCGCACCGGCTACCTGATCTGTAGGTACCTGATCGATGTGGACAGGTTGGATGCCGCCGCGGCTTTGCAGCTCTTCAACTCCAGCAGAGGTCACCACATCGAGAGGAAGAACTACATCCGAGACCTCCAGCACGCCGCCAAGAGGAGCAACAGAGGCATCGACGAGCCGGAGAGAAACCCGATCATGGGGCTCGCTGTGAGGAAAGAACCTGCGGCGCTGATAAAGCACCAGGAGAAGGTGGAGAGCAACACCGCAGCACATGTCAAAGCTTCTGGTGATGAGTCAGCAGAAAATCAGCAGCCTAAAGAGAAACAGCCGAGTCAGAAACAAACCAAACGCAGAGCCCGACGTCGCTACAAGACCAGGAACAAGAAGTCTGCTGATGGGTCAGCGCAGGGTCACGACCCCGCCTCCTGAACCGAGGCGCCACAGCCAAGGTCACGCTAATCAGCTTAGACTGAAACAAACTTTAGCTTCTTTTACAGTTTCTGAGCGATTGTTTCCTGCACCAGAAACACAAAAATGTATTTAAAAGCTAAAAAGCGATTCCAGCAGATAAAACCAAACATAACTTTCTGATTCTGGAGCGTTTAGATCGGATGATTACCGTATTTTCCAGACTGTAGAGCGCACCTCACTATAAGCCGCATCTACAAAGCTTTTCTAAAAACTGGAAAAGTTCAAATATAAGCCGCTGGCATCTCCGCCGCTGTCGGTTTTTCACAAGGAAGCAGCATAAATATGCGTTCTTAATAAATATGCTATTAAGAACGCAGCCCTGCGTCTCCAACACCGAGACGCGGTGGATCTGTTCACGCCGAGTTTATGTGCAGCGGCTCCATTTACTGCCAGATCGACGGCCTTCAACTTAAAACTGCATCATATGAACTTTGTGTGGTTTCCACGATGAGGGGTTTGAGTTTGAAAACATTTCCCCGTCGTGCTAGCATACATTTATTGACAGCTGCATTTATTTACTGCAGCATCTCCACCGCTCTGATTATAACTATTAATCATTTTCTCATTTTTATACAAAAAAATCTGTTTTAAAAGATAAAATAATTTTACTTACATTTTTAATTTTTCTGGATTGAATTTTTAATAAAGTTTGGCATATGAAAAAAACGTTTTGTTTTTTTTCTCATTTTAATAAAAGTTTTAACTGGATTTCTCAATTTGAGGAAAGTTTAAATTCAATAATCTTTGAGCCACTTCAACTGGTACAAAAGTTTTAATGTGGAACCGAATTTCTGCATCGAACAATTAATTCAAACTTTATTTCATCCGAGACATAACTGATAGAAAAACATAACTTGGTGTTTCAGTACATAACGAGACCTGTGGTTCTGAATGGAAACTCCTCTTAAATTAATTTCAGGACGGAGAAGTTCAGAAATGCACATTGTCGTCCTTCCATCTCATCTCTGTTTATCGTCTAAAATCAGAAACATTTTGATGTCTAAGTCCTGAAACTTTTAGGTTTTTCTTTTTCTGTTTATGGGAAAAGCTTTTCCATCAGTCACAGATGCTGCCAAAACTCCTGTTTGGAAGAGGATTACAGCCATTGATTAAAATATGACTTTTCTCACAAGATTAAACCCTGAATTTTGAAAAAAAAATCAGAATTTCTGTGGAATTTTTTTTCCAGAAAAAATAAAGTACTTTATAAAAGTAGAAAAGCCAAACAAACCAAAGAACGGAGTAGAAAATGCAGAAGTTAAAACCGAGCTGAGTCGGTGTGTGTGGAATAAAGTGGATTAACAGCTGGGATTAGAGGTTCAGAGTTTTCTCTTCCTTTTTTTCAGAACTTTCTGACTGTCTGGGTCTCGGCTGTCGCTCCGAGGCCGACCCCGGGGCCAACCCCGGGGCCTCTTCTTCAGGTCGGTCCGGTTCGGGTTCTCCTCTTTCTGGGCTTCCGGCTCTTTGACGTCAGAGAGCTGCTGGAGCCGCCTGGGTCTGCTCAGGGTTCTGCTTTGGTTCTTCAGAACCTTCTTCCTGCTGTGGGTTTGGAGATGAAGCTTGAGTGCGTGAGGGACCTCAAACTGCTCCCCGCACAGACCGCAGACCGGCGTGGGGTCCTGGAGGTGGCCTCTGATGTGCCTGAACAGAAACCTGCGGGCACTGAAGGCGCGACTGCACGCCTGGCAGCTGAACCCGTCGCCATGGCGACTCGGCTGTTCCCGAGGAGCTGATCCGGGGTCGGGCGAGCCTTTGCTGTAGTCGTCGCTGTCTTCGGTGTCTGACGACAACACAACCGGGACGTCCAGGTCTGGGTCAGCCACGGGGAGGACGCCGTCGCGTAGCCTGGCGGACGGCCGGGAGCTGTAGGTGAACTCGATGATCTCTGCCGCGTCCAGAGCGGGGAGAGTCTCCTCGGGTTTGACCTCAACATGGCGGGAAGGCTCAAGAAGCAGGTTCTGGTCCAGCTGGGTCAGGAGCAGGTTGTCTCTGGGATCCAGCAGCTGCTGTGAGAAGACAGCTGGAAAAAAATAAAAGTAAATATGAGACTCACTTTGAGTTCAGACAGAGCACTTCCATATAAACAAACTAAAGATTACAGCAGTAATCGATTATTGATTATTCTGATGATCAATCGGATAAAAGGTTGACGCATTCTGCAGATTTTTCACTTAAGCCTAGTTTGTAAAATATTAAAAAAGAAACATTTTAATCATTGATTTAAATAAGAAAATAAACAATTTGTTGCTTAAAATGCAATAACATTTTATCCTGTTACTGAAATCTTGATCATTTGTAGCAAAGAATCTGCAGATAAAAAATTATTCTAACAACGTGTGAAAAGCTCAAAGCTTCATGTTCGACTTAATACAATGTTGGGATGATCTGTTGATTAGTCTTTGGATTAAGAAATCAATAATTGGATTTTAAAAGGTGTTTTCTTAAAGTATGTTGGGTTTTTATTTTTAGCAAATTAGCTTTTTTAAAAGTCTCTATGCGACAGTTAATCTATTACAAGATTAGTTGGGAATTATTTCAATAACTGATTAATCACGATTAATTGTTTCAACTTTATAAAAATCATCTGGATTTATCGGATGTGTGTGTGTTAGTCTGTGTGTGAGCGTTCAGCTGAATGGGCTTGGGTTTAGCATTTGACAGAAGTTGAAAGGAATTTTGATTTTCAGATTTCTGATGCACTTCACAGTACTTCTGTTGTAACTTTCCTGGTGCAGATGCTCTACAGAGAGAGGTGGATAGAGAAACCAAAAACTGTTCTCAAGTAAAAATACAAATAAGTAGTAATGAAAAAAAATTAGAGTTGCCAACATCTTTCTGTCTGTCTGTCTTTCTAAAGAGGAGCAGGAAAAGCAAATGAGGTGGATCAGCAATGTTTCCCAATAGCTGTTGGTGTCATCCAGGACATGTTACTGTGGAATATCATTTTCGTTGCCCAGAAATTAAGGTTCAGCCAGAGGCTTTTTAGATTTGTTGCAGGACTGACTGCTACTGCCCACAGTATATGTGTGAAGATGCTAGGATGACATGAGATTCGACAACATCTAATTTCCCTTTGGGATAAATAAAGAACAATTTAAATAAATTGAATTACAAGTTCCTAAAAACTTTCATTCATTTTTAAAAAGTATAAATTCAAACACCCGCCTCAATTTAGTGTCTTTCAAAGGTACTGAGGAGTAACAACAGCCATTTAACTGGATAACTTGAGCCCCCCCTGCTGGTGGAAGTCGGCATCGCAGAAAGTTTCATGTCCCAGGATCCCCTGAGGACTGACAGGTGGAGGCTCACCTGCGGACGGTGCCTCCATCACGGACTTGTCCAGGGCGCAGAGCAGCGCGTGTTGGCGGGAAATAACCTGCTGGCGGAGAACGGCTTCCTCTTCGTACTTCACGATGGTTTCCTCAAAAGCCGCCAAAATCTCCTCGACCGCCGCGTTCAGGCGCTGAGTGACGAACAAACGCAGCTTCTGTGACCGAGACATGTCGCCTTCCGGGGGGAGAGGTTGGAATACGAGGACTATTGTGGACTAAATCCGCTCCAAATGACCGGCTGCTGCTAACGAGCGCTACGGAAGTAAACAACAGAAGGACTTCCGGAATTCTTCTTCTTCGCTTCTGCGGCTGCTTGGAATTATTTTAATCACTTTACTGCCCTCTTTTGGTTTTACGTGTTAACTAAAACCATTTGAGTTGAAATAAACATAAAAGTGGAGTTTTTCGCTACTATTTTAATATTTTTCTACATTAATCTGTTTTTGATTACAGATCAGTATAATGCGCATTATTTTTACCGCATTGTGAAACACTGAAAGAAGCCCCGACTTTGTTTATTTTCTGGATCAAATGTATGCTCTGACTTACCTGGTTTGGTGTTTTCGTGATTTAAAATTAATTTTAACAGGTGCCAAATAAATTAAACCAATCAGGATTAAAAACTGAAATTAATTATAATGCATTTTCCTTAATTAGTAGCATGTTAATTCAAACTTTAACCACAAATATCCACCCACCCATTAAATCTTAAACACTAAAAACATGATTTTATATAGACTATAAATAAGAATACATATGTGGAAAATAAAAATCTGTACAAATTGAAAATAGAAAATATTATAAAATGTTTCAGTGTTTGAATTCAGTGGTTTAGTCCTGTTTTTGTTTTTTTTTGCCAGTCTTTAAAGTACAGAAATGAAGTTCATATTTATACAATGATCAGTTTTAAAGACTAAATGTACAAACACAAGAGACTGCTTGTTTTTTCCCCAGCCTGACTGTTGTTCCTTGTTTTTGTAAAACCTTTCCAGAGTGTTTAGGAACCCTGTTTTTATGAAGTGCTCCATGGTGCATGAACAGATCACACAAACACAGATCAGCTGCGCTCAGTTTAATGAAGCCAGAATGTGGAAACTAAGGTGCAAATTACAAGTAAATGGAAAAACTTTAAACAGGAACGAAGGTGAAGAGTTTGAAGCAGGACAGATGTTCTCATTTATAAGGATTACTCAGTTTCACCATCTTCTTCTTCATTCTTTTCATCATTTTCTGCCTCATTCTTCACTTCATCTTCTTCATTCTTCACTTCATCTTCTTCATTCTTCACTTCATCTTCTTCTTTCTTCACTTCATCTTCTTCTTTCTTCACTTCATCTTCTTCTTTCTTCACTTCATCTTCTTTCTCCACTTCTTCTTCTTCTTTCTTCACTTCATCTTCTTCTTCATTCTTCACTTCATTTTCATCACAGGCCTCTTCCTCCTGGAGGAAAGAGTGAAACAGATTATAAAACAGATGTGACCGATAAGAATGATAACCAAAGGATCCCCCGTCTCTCCTCGCCTGTGGTGCTGCCGCTCTCCTCTCCCTCTCCCTCTTCCTCATCTCTATTTCCACCATGCTGTAGAAGTCGCTCTCGACCTTGGCGAGGATCTGCTCGGGGTCGTCGTCTCCGTCCTCCCGCCACGCCTCGTCCTCTCTGCTCTGTTCGGAGCGACTTCTCTCCTTCAGACGGATCTCCCTCTGACGGGCCTCCAGGATCTTCTCTCGCTTCGTCTCCCTCTCAAACATCTGCAGAATAACGCAGAAACATTTTTTCAGAGGAT